AGAAATCAAGCAGGACATTGTGCTGCTGTAGGAAGTCAGCACCGAGGATTACATCAGACGTGATATCAGCAGCAACGATAAAATTCTGAACAGCTACGAACGAGGGTGTACAAACAGAGAGGGACACGGTACCCGTAGTGGAGAGGGGACGGCCCGTCACACCAGACACAACAGGAGCAGCAGACACAGGGACAGAGGAGGTCGTGCACAGACTACGCCACAATGCAGTAGACACAAGGGAAACACTAGACCCAGTGTCAACAAGAGCATGGCATTTCGTCTCTTGGAGACTAACCGCAACATAGACAGACGGAGAAACTGCAGAAGACGACTGAACACGCGTAACAGGACACACAGTCACAGGTGCAGACGCAGGGCAACGCACATCAACAGTACAATAACAGGGACGACATTCACAACCAGTACAAGTCGGCACAGTCGAGCTAGGAACACTAGTATCGAAGACTGGAGCTTGCCGAGCAGCACCAGTCAATAGCGGTTTCCCGACGGACGACCCCCACGCGTCGAGTGGGGACAATCACGACGGAAGTGGGACTGATCGCCACACGTGAAGCACCCGCGATCACGCGCGCCATCGTAAAGTCCGCGGCCTGTGCCGTTGTACGGAGGCGGGTTACGATTCGAGCTGCCAGGAAATCGAGTTGGGCCCGATATATGGGCGCGCTTCGAGGGAAGACGCTGTGACCACGGCCGCGTGGAGCTCGAGTGTCGTCACTATACGCCCGTGGCGACGGAGCGGAGGTTGCGGAGAAGACCTGTAGATCAGCTAGCTGGTCCGAAATTTTGCTCAACAACGATAGTACGAGCGGGTCGGTGGAGCTCGAAGTCGAACTCGGAGCTACGTGGGCCACGGTGGCACTGGACGTAGGAGTCGGATCCGCGAGTGGACCTACGGAGTGTGCCTGAGGCATAGAGGCGGTCAGGGCAGCGCAGGCTGGTGTAGGAACCGGAAGACTGCGGCGATTCTCGACCTCTAAGATCGCTGCAACTTCGTACGCCCGTCGAACGGCGGCATCGAGGGCTGCAGGGCTGGATGTCCTGATGTGCAAGCGCAGGTCACTATTGACCTGGCCGTCAATAAATTGATTGAGCGTCAGGCGATCTAACAGCGGACCCTGTTGACCTGGAAAGGCGCGTGCCGCAAGGCGCTGAAGAGCTGCGGCGAACTCGGCCTGGGACTCAGTGGATCGTTTCAGGCGAGCTCGAAACTCGGCCTCAAGGAGGCGACTTTGCTGTGGCGGTGCGAACCGTAGCCCTAATTCGGTGCACATTTCTACATACGTATACTGCGGGTGCGCCGCCAGAATGGTCTGGTAAGTGGTAAAAGCACTCTCCTTGAAACAACAAGGTAAAAACTGCAGCCTTTCCGCATCCCGGTACCCATTTACCACGCACGCTGCGTCGAACCTGGCGATGAAGCAGTGCCAATCGTCTTGGCTGGCACCCCCAAACGTCGGCGGTACAACTACCGGCCGAGCAAGTGGTGCCTGTCGAGGAGCCGGAACCTGACCCGGAGCCAGAGCTGGTGCAGCGGGAGCAGCAGCGGCAGCGGCAGCAGCAGCTTGAGGATTCTGTGCCATTTTCGGTGTCTTGTATATAAGGATAACAAACAAACAAGTAGGCCTATAGGACTTCGCAAGCAACACGGGACGCGTTTGAGGACTAAGCCTACGCTATAGCAACAGTTCAAGTACGGCGAGCAGTGCAAGAAAAACTGGCAACGAAGAGCTAGCTTACTTAGGGGACAAGACTACGAATAGATCCAACAAAGTAAGCCTAGAAAAGACTAGCACTACAAAAATGTAAATATTAAAATCGTAAATTGGCACGGAACAAAGTTACTCAGCTTGAGTTGAGACGAGAACGGCAACGGCAACGTTCACTGCACGGCGAAATAACGAGGCGTGGTCCGGAATACTGCGACTGACGAACGCAGAGCTAACACCGCTGCCACCAAATGTAATACGCGACCGAGTGACAAGGCAAAACTGGTTCAGTCTCTCCGGCAAAACACAGGTAGTATTCTCAGGGAACAATATTGCACACACGGAACGACAAACGTAGGTGACACAGAATTACTTATAGTATATTGAAAGACTCAATAAGTGAAGGGAAGACGACAGAAACAACGGAGGCAAAGACTCTGCAACAACTGAGCTGGGCAACTGACACACGGATCTATATATATGGTACGAGATTGCCAGTTACAGCTCCGAGCGCTAGTTAGCGAATGAAAGCAAGGGATCGGATGGTGTCAGCAATGCAGAGTGCAATACATAGTAATACATAGTGATTTGTGTAGGGGGAAGTCCGTCTACTACACTACATAGTAATACATAGTGATTTGTGTAGGGGGAAGTCCGTCTACTACATATACTATACAAGTAGTAATATTATGACATTGTACCTGTGTAGCTCTAAACTCCCCTAGCATGATTTGGACTTGTTTTTCTTTTTTTTCTTTTTTTTTGCCATGGCCGGCTATAATCGCCCTCACCTCCTCCTTGATTGGCCTTGGCCATGAGTGTGTGCGTAATAATAATTTCTTCACTAATAATAATAATAGTAATTCATAGTAATAAGGGTCAGAACCGGGTTCAACACCCATATGGTTCAGATGGTCCCAACGGACCTGGGTAGTAAGATCACTGTTTCCGAACACAGTGTCCTCCACCTTGTTTCATGCTGTCAAGAGCTAACAACAATGACGTCTAGCTGTAGACGTAGAGAGGCATACAGGTATTGTCACTGAGGTACATGTACATCTACATGAGCACGATGATTGTAGAATTATTCTTCATATGTGTATTTTCACCATAAACCAGTCTCTTGACTTCAGTGCCTGTCACAGCGTCTCTCACAGTAGATCTACGTGCAGTGTCAATGGTTCCCATGGTCACTGGCTGGCATCATGGCATGTACCGATATTTTTTATATCTTTATTTTTATCTCTCTTCTAAATCCTACTTGGAGCAGTAAGGCTGTGTCACTGCTTCTACTGTCATTGTTGTGAAAGCAATATCATCGCCATTGGTGGTGATTTCCACCATGCATGAATCATTAACAATCATCATTTATGTGTCCCAACTGTCCTCGTAACTCCCCTCATTGTGACTAGTGCCGTACTGTTGAAACCTACTTTGCTTCAGTGTATATCCGCTCCAAAGCTCTTTTGTTGCATAGTTATCTGACGCAGTGTGCTATCGGGCAATATGGATAAGATTAGTACAGTCAGCATCGGCTATGGAGTGACCAGGTATAAGGATACTAGTACATGTATGCCGGCTAAACGATATCGGAACACAAATAGCACTATGTGTACACTATTAATGGCTATAGTGATATTACTAGGCAGTAAGTCTTCTTACTTTCTAAGCTCACGCTGTGCCGTGCGGATAGGTCATGCGTCGTTGCCAACTTGCCGCATGTGCATGTTCAGCAGGAAGGCACCACATGTCGACTACTACTTATACCAGGGTTCTAGCCAAAGGGGGGTAGAGGGGCGCAGCGCCCCCCCCCCCCCCCCCTACTCCGTTCGCACGCCCCCCTGTGAAAAAGTGCCGCCCCCCTACTCATTTTCCGATTTTTTGTGTTTTTTCCCGCCATTCAACGAAAATACAGTCGATAGTCACTACTAGAGGGTTCATAAAGGCACATTTGTGAGGGGTGAAGTTGGGGTTCACTCTGTATGTTACATTTTGCATGGCAAGACAATTTTTGACAATGGAAAAAATGGGTCATGGGGTAACTTTCTCCCCTGCCCGCCCCTACTATATTGACCTGGCTAGAACCCTGTTATACTGTACAGCAGCATTGTGTGCTTACATGCATCTACGGCCTTGTGGATGCAATTGAATTGATGCAATTGAGAATATTGTGGACAGCTAAACAGTCAGTGTTCGTTCTGCAGAGTTGCACGTGTGATGAACGGACAGTGTACAATGCTGTCTCTCCAACCAAGATGGGAAAGTTGAGTGTTTGGCACTCAAATCACCCCTCAACCCCCCACCCCCAACGTCTACGCCCCTGGATATGTTAGGAATGAATCCAGATACTAGAGAGGTTAAGATGCACGTTATTTCCGACGTGACGCGCAATTTCACGTCAAATTTGGCGTAAAACTCCAAATTTCGACGTGAGCAGCAGGTCGCTCGCGTTGATTTTTCGACGTGCGAGCAAATAACGCGAGCTGAACTTTCGCGTCACGTCGGAAATAACGTGCATCTTAACCTCTCTACTCTCCTAGAATAAACCAGCATGCATGTTTTAGCAGCGAGACATGAAGCATCTCTGAAACTCACCGTGCTACGTACTGAGGCTGGCAGAGGGGCTAACTCAGTCAGCTTTCGCTAAGCCGCGGTGATCAGCTGAAGTGAAGGGTGCGCTAGCTCAAGTTTCCACTCAACTGACTCGGACGGTTGGACGGATTGCTGAATGAAGTATTGGTGAGCGATGGTGTCTGCGCAAGGAACGTTAGCTACAGAGCACGCCTTCAAAGTTTCAAACAGTGGCTCAGCCGCTGGACTTCTATCTGTACAACTGTTTCTGTTTCTAGATGTTACTGAGCTAGGCCATAGGGTGCAACTAAACGAGTTCCTAACTCTGAGGTTGACTGCATGCAGCAGCTACATCGGACTAACAGGAACCCAAATAACTCACCCTACTACTAGTACTAGTACTACTACTAGTACTAGTACTAGTACTAGTACTAGTACTAGTACTAGTACTAGTACTAGTACTAGTACTAGGCACAAAACCAAAAAAAACTATCTCGAACCAGCTCCAAGGCCAAGGCCAGGCCTAGGCAGGGACCATGGCATGGGCTTGGGCAAAGCCAATGCTTCACGTAGATCTACTACCTGTAGCATCAGCTCAGGCACTGATGGCAGTGATCATGCCTTCATGGTGATGCGAGCAGTCTGTGCCCACACACACACACACACACGCGCGCGCGCGCACACACACACGCACACATGTCATTGTTGTTAGCTTGACAGCAAGAAACAAGGTGGAGGACACTGTGTTTGGAAACAGCAGTGCGATGTTGCTGCTTAGCCACAGTGACATGGCTGCTACTTTCGTAACACTGTTTGTTCCGTTTGCCACTTAATACAAACTGTTTGCCGTTCAAATCTCAATATAAACTGTTCGCTACTCAATTCAAAACCAGCACTGGTTTCCACAGCATGTCCTCCATACAAAGCACATGGGATGACATCATGCACTCCATACAAAAGCACATGTGATGACATCACTCACGTGACCTCTAGATAACCAGCAGCAGCAGCGTACAGGTATCAGCAAAACAGAACAGGAACGTACGCCAAAAATTGATTGTCCCTGACAAATTGCTTGACAGAGTCTACTTGGGCGTCAGAAATACGTCCATTGCTCTGCAGTACAGCCAGCACCTCGGCAACAGTGAAGAATAACTGTGCATGCGTACGCCAGTGTCCAGTAGCTTTTGTCGGCCACCCTGCTGTCGGTCCAACAGAACTGCGGCGTCAGCTGAAGTGAAGGGTACGGGTGTGTGCTAACTCACACCAGCGTGTGTTGAGTCTTGATCCGGGATTGAAACTGGCGACGACTTGGTGACTTTTCGCCGTCACTGCTCATCCGCAGTTCTCTGCTTGCAATTTTGCAAAGTAGAGTCAGGGCTCTGCGTGATGTTCACAAGTCCGCTGTCGAGTCTGAGAAAAGGGAAGAGAGAATACAAATCATTTACCAGTACAATCGTGCTTCGAACCAAATGTTCCACGGATCATGTCTTTGGTGTAGGAATCGGGGCGGGGGGTGGGGGGCAAGGGGGGCACCAGCCGCTCCCCCCCCCCTTACCTTTTGGCGGATGTGGGGCCAAAGGCCGTAAAGTAGGGTTCGGCGGATTCTGCCGGCAGAATAATTGGCAGAATTCGGTACTTTTTCTGGTATGTTTCACGCATGTTTGATGAACGCGCAAGTGAGGATCATGCATGCAGTGCAGATCAGTCAGTGGTCATGCACTCAGATCAATCGTAGTCAGAGCTGACCCTGCAGTCATTCATGTACATGTATGTACATAATCATTTCTCTGTCCACCCTGCACTCCACTCGTTTCGTACACATCCGCACATTCACTCATACGTGTACACCACTATTGAACACGTCCATATTGCCAGTGGGGGCCACCACAGCACATCGCCCCCACTTATCGTCTTTGCACACAGTTCCGTGGTCATGACTATACAAAACCATTGCTTAGTCCAACAAAAAACTCCCAACACATTAGACCATTATGCATCCACACAACTCTAGAAGAATAAAAGCGATGATATATATTCTGAAATTACATGATGATTACTGGGGCGGGTGGGTGGGCACTCTCACTCAACTCTCCGCACAAAGACAAAAGAGGTCGACCCTGCACTCGTCACCTCCTTTTATCCCACACCGTGCTCCCTCATACCCGTTCTTGGGTGGACAGAGAACACTACTTTTCTGCTAATTCTTATACTGTGACGTCAACCGCAGAGAAGTGACATCACTACAGTCATAAGTCTCCACTTTTTCAGATCTAAAAGAATGTGCGTGTCACCGGCGTGAAGCACACTCACTAGATCATCCCTTGGTTGTTTTCGCATCGTAGCAGCTAATGAAGCGTTGTTTTTCATGGGCAGTTTTCTTCAAAATCGGAAAGGCAAGAGTACTTTCCTTTAGTCGGAGTCAGTACTTCTCATTGCTATACCACAGCGTTCTGAAGAAAGTCACTTTCCAGAAGAAATTTTCGAGACTGACTGTTATTAGCACAGTAGTTCTCGGAGAGCTAAGATTTCTAGATACGACCACCAAACTCTTGGGCGGTGGTCATAAATTTCAACATTTTCATTAGAAACTGAGCCCGGTCGAGGCTTGCAGCCATAATTCAATGACGTCCTAAAGATTTCACCAGGGTCACATTAGTCATTGTGGAAAATCCGTTATCAGTGGAACGTACTACATTGCAATACTTCTTATCACTGACAGGAGAAGATTCCTTCAAGAGTCCGAGGTTCTTGTTTGCAATAGCCAAAATCAGGGAAGTCTTGAACATCAGCTTACAAGTATCTCTCTGCCTTTGCCAGTAAGTTTTGCTTTATGGTCGACTCTCTTTCACCATTACAGATGTACCGGTATTACGCTTTCCGGTAAATTTCCCTTTGGACTTTGGCCAGGCTGTCAGTCAGAGCTACATATCCAGTGGTGGCTGTGTGCAATCCCTGGTGTTCAACATACATATACATCTACATGTACAGCATTTTCATTATTCTTGTCCAGATTCCAGTAGTAGTGCAGTACTCGGTTTTCACGATTGCTCCACACACAGTCATAATTTTATTATGTACATGTCTAGTGTAGTGCACCTATATCATGATGTGTTGTCACATACTTTTACACAAATACAAATCTCCGTAGAAGGATTACCGGTACACAGGTACATACGCACAATAGGTACTAGTATAGCCCAACATACATCAAGGTCATTGCCAGCAAGTCAGCCCCCCAAACCAAAACATCTTCATACGCCACTGCATGGATGAGTCGGTCCCCGGCTCCAGGTACTAACCTTCACACTCGTCTCCACTCAACACTGCAGTATACTGATACAGGTAATCAACTTTCACAGCGTGTGGAGGAAGAACAACGAGTCTAGAATCTACTCCAGGACATGTAGAAGACTAAACTTCATTCAAGGTAGTTAGTTCGATTTGATCCGCTAGCACTGTCCAAAAGACTCGCAGTGTCCGCTCAACTCGTATACGGACAGTCGGACTAATGCCTGAAGTATTGGTGAGCGATGGTCTGCGCAAGGAACGTTAGTTACACTTACAAAGTACGCGTTCAAAGTTTCAAACAGTGGCTGGGCTTCTACTTGGCGATTGTTCAACTGGTTCTAGAAGTCAATGAGCTAGCGTGCAACGAAATGAGTTCCTAACTCTGCGGGGGCCAGCAGATCAACGACTACCACTCTTATCAGACTGGTCGATTACAGTTAGACAGAAAACTAAAAAAAACTATCTCCGACCAGCTCCAAAGCCAAAGGCAAAGGCAAAGCCTTCACGTCCGTGACAACACTGACTAATCAACGAGTGAATCCACCGCCGGGCACCGACACTGGGCGACAGTCCAAGTGGGCTGTGCTGGAGATCAACATGATCAAGCGCCACGGAAAAATACAGTACGTCCGACGTCACCATGGTCACGGTTCCTTCGATGCGCATAGCAACGATGCATGCACACTGCACTAAAAATCGCAAAAGAAATCGTCCTCTCCACAGAACCAGTTGCCAGTGGCAACACATGCAAGTCGCATACATGCACTTGATTCTTCTTTGTTGTTTTCAGTGTTTTCTCTTTCTCATTGATCTCGACAGTGTTGTGGTGCTCGTTACCTTACTGAGACATCTCTTGTGACCGTGGTCAGTGTCACCAACGGCGCAACGAGGCGGAGCGCCGGGATCGAGCGTGTAAAAATGCTCTGCATTAGCAGCTACTGTAGTGTAGAATGAACACTTCATCCATCGATTGCCGCTATGCATTTCATGTTGTGGTCACAGATAATCTGGGCAAATGTAAAACTACCAACTGGAGAGTGCTATGGTGTTAGGGACGTGTCCCAAAGTGTCTTCACATGGCTGTGGAGACTAGTACACACCTGGAGGAATATTTCTACAACAGTGATACGGAGTGATATGGAGTGCAGATGGATGGATAGAAAAGAAAACTTAGATGATGGGAAGTAAGTACATGTCATGTAAGTTGATTGTGTGGAAGAAATTTGAAACAAGATAAAATAAAAGTTTCACTCAAACATACATGTAACATCCTGATTAGTATTCCGTCTTCATTTTTCCAGGTAGTGGCACTCTACACGCTCCGATTACCTTGTGTGTGTGTGTGTGTGTGTTTGTGTGTATGTGGGCACTCCAGTCTCCCCGGAGGTGTGGGTTCGAATCCCACCGCTGCCACCAGTGTTAGCTGCTCCCGGCTAATGAAGTCCCCTCACACCAAAACACAAGAGTTTTATAGTATTGAATTATGCAAGTACAAGAGTGTAGACAAGAAGGAGAACAGGACAACGACAACTCAAGACTAGTGCCAGCTAGTTCGGTTGGTAGGTACACTTATGCCTGATTGTGTTGGGTCTGTTGCCAAACAGGCTCGGCTGCTTGAAGGTGTAATGTTGTACCTGCCACCTTTGTTGGTTCCAGGGTTCATATACTTTCTATTTGAAGTATACATACCTGTTAACCATGGACTGCTTCTGGCTAGGTTAACTCTTGTGTAATCAATGGTGCTAGTAAAGCTTATATCAGATCCACTCTGATTTAGCCACCCACACTAGTAGCACGTATTACCTTCACTGGGGGCAGGGGTAACTGCAGTTGGATCCCGGGACGGATACCCTGATTCCGTCAATCCCTTTTCTGCAACTTGTCCTCGCCCACTTACTGAGGTGTGGTTAGCCCATAAGAGGGATCATTTTCAAGTCCACCTAGTGTTTTGGGGATTTCAGGGGGTTTCAGCCATTGGGCGCTTCAATAGCCGATAGAGTCATCTTTCCAAGATTCCTTTTGAGTCTCTCTCCCCTCTCCCGGGGAGACCCACGTGACCAGTTTTGACAGTGAGCAACAAGTACAAGTGTGTGTGTGTGTGTGTATGTATGTGTGTGTGTGTGCGTGTGCTTGCGTCCATAGCCCTTCCAAAGACCCTTGGAGTGCCTGAGGACATTGGTCACATCGTACGGGAGCGGCGTTTGCGCTGGCTTGGACACGTGACACGGATGGAAGATGACCGGTTGCCCAAGTGTGTTCTCTTCGGTGAACTGCCTGCCCCGCGCCCCGCGCATGGTCCAGCCAAGAGGTGGAGGGACGTCATTATGGATGACGTTTCGTCGGTTGAGCTACCGGTACCAACATGTTGATGGTACGGTGCAGCCCAGAACAGTCCGGAGTGGCGTACCATTGCCCGTCGACCACCCAAGGCACCCTCTGCTGCTGGCTACGGTTGCGCCTGCGGCCGCATGTTCCGTCGAAGCGGCGACCTGAAACGCCATCAGTCGTTCTGTTGTGGACTGGAGAAATAAGTTCAAATAACTATGCGCTATCATTGCTACGCAATGGGCAAAGTCAAGGTGTGTGTACAGCATGTGTGTGCATGTATGTGTGTGTGTGTGTGTGTGTGTGTGTGTGTGTACAGTATGTGTGTGTGTGTGTGTGTACAGTATGTGTGTGTGTGTGTGTGTGTGTGTGTGTGTGTGTGTGTGTGTGTGTGTGTGTGTGTGTGTGTGTTTGCACAGTATGTGTGTGTGTGTGTATTGTGTGCCACGAACCTTTCTGCCGGTTGCTGCCATATTAGTCCTTTCTCTATCATTGCCTCTGGCAATGGGCAAGTTCAAGGTTCAAGTATGTGTGTGTGTATAGTCATGCACACACTCTCGTGTGTGGTTGAGTTGGCTAGACAAAGTGACCCTGCATGGCCACGAGGTTTCCGTCATGTCGATGGTACATGTATTGGAATTACGTACCGTATTTTCTGGAGACAACGCCGCACTTTGAACACTCAAAATTCACTCAAAAGAATGGCTTATATTCCAATGACCAAAATAACAGTGATCATCAAATAGATGTCTGTATTTCGTGGCAAAAAATGTGGGGGGGGGGGAGGAGGTGCGGCTTATACTCCGGAAAATACGGTACTGTCTGACTTGTCATCTAAAATATAAATTTCTCTTAGCGTTGTTAGTGGAATTTGTGTCATTGCTCAGCGGGTATGGGGTTGCGACGCCTTGTTGGTTATTTGTAGGAACAACAAGTTACGCTATAATGTCCACTAACACCACCAGTTACTTGACAATCAGCTCATGCATGTTGAATCTTTAGAGCCACACAAGTTGTGTGCTATGTTGCTATGCGTCCTTGAATCTTGGTTTAACCATACTGTCCAATGGTCTTGCCAGTATCGTCATGGACATGCATGTACATCGGCCTTCACAGCTAAGACTTTCAGCTTGTGCTTGTCTTGGTTGTGCTCACCTTCCCCTCCTATGTTATCATGTAACTAAGAACATTCCAAGTTGGAATGCTGTTGGAGTGCGCATCCAAGACTTGCTAGAGGTGATAGCCAGTTAGTTGTAGAAGGTCAGTACCGTCGGTCAGTGCCGTGCAATGTTATCGCATGAGTTGAATGTCATGTGACACAGGGGTGTTGGACACGCTACGGTCACTACGCTATTGACCGTATCACTTTTTGCCCCCAGGTACCCCCCCCCCCCCCCCCGTGAACCAATAAAATAAACTGAACCCCGCAAACACATGATGCATGATCGCAACAGGGCAAATGAGAGACGGCATATGTAACTGGTGGTGTTAGTGGACTTTATAACGTAACTTGTAGTTCCTTGGTGCTTTTTGTGTTTTCTTGGTTTAGCCGACAGTTTCATTTCTGTGTTCTGTAGTGATTGGCCTGTGGAAACAATAATCCAAGTGGATGTCATTGTGTTCTATGTATGTGTCTTTTGCAACAGGTTCAAGGCAAGGTGCACGTCATGAAGCATTCGGCCCGTGATCTCAGTGTCTGGTAGCTTATGTAGCCGTGGTTGTATGGGTGATCAAAGATGATACTCTGCATATCAATGTAAGTGTCCAGTATTTGTGCTCTGCCCATACAACACAGCAACAACGACAGAGTTACATAGCCAGTGGCTGGCAATGGTGAAGTAATCATATGAATATGTGCTAGTATTCCTGACCTATTGTAAGCAAGTAAGCTCATCATTACTACAAGACTAATAGTATTACTAGCAGCAGACATGACGTCATTCTCCTGTTTACATACCTCTAATATCTGTATCTACAGCTGCAGCAGCAGTGGGTACCATGGCAACACAGTACACACTTTATCTCCCTCCCATGTTCAGTTTTACTGCTCTGCACACACCATCGTGGTGTGGTTGGCGTGTGTTGTGTGTTTTTGTTCTCAGCATCTTCAGCATAGTACACGTAGTGAATCATGTACCGGATTACTTTCCATCGCCTGCTGCCTCCGCCGCCGTATACGTATCATTTTTATTGAGATGACGTGAGTTTACCGTGATCAGTGATTCCCCCGTCACCACGGCTTGCCTGCTGTCATACTGAAAGCTTTCCAATCTATTGAATCTATCCTTTTTGTTCTTGCCTGCAACAGCAATCAACACTCTACCATCTATTTACTGTTGTTTTGTACGTCGCTGCACGTTTGAGCCAGCTACACTGCACTCGGGTGTGTATATGTGTACGGTCTGTCTTAATATCTATAGTCACATGACCAGTGCATGGTTACATCATCAAGAGTACACACAGCTGTACTGTGGGGTGCTGAAGAACGGTTGGGTTAGGTGAAAAACGGACATGCAGGCTGGAATTTCACCCTGGCACAGCATACCAATGTATAGAGAGTAACTCAACTGTGCATAAACCATAGTACATGAAAATAGGAATGCTCTAGGCTACTACCAGGCTGACCCCCCAGTTCTTTCTAACCCAACAGTACAGTGTAAGTTAGTTTGACATCATCTACCATCCGGTAGATATCCGCAAAGTTACATGGTGCAATGTACTATGTGTACTGGGGGTAATAAAATAATGACCTCTCTGGAATGGTGCGCTGTACTAGGGGTAATAATGCCTTCTCTGGAATGGTGCACTCTATTGGGGGTAATACTGCCCTCTCTGGAATGGTGCCCTCTATTGGGGGTAATAATGGGGTAATAATGCCCTCTCCGTGGAATGGTGCGAGGGGTGCAGTGCAGACCGTGACTGAATGCTTGAGATCAAGGAAATACATTACAGCCGTATCATGTGTGATGAGGTGATGCAGCATGGCCGCGGTGCTGTGTGGACTGAGAGCAATGGAGTTTCCGCGCGTCTCATCACACCAAGACTAGATAAACTCTTCGTCACAATCATTAGGAGCAGCAGAGTGCCGGCTACAGCTGATCAAGCGTACCACCAGCAACAATGAATGTATTTCAGTAAATGCTGGCATTGGTGTCAATATTGACAAACACGTACATCAGCAATGGACTATCAGAGCAGAAGCAGAAGAGCAGTGAACACCATCAGTATAATTATACTGTATATACATATC